ATTGTTATTGTTATTGTTATTGTTATTGTTATTGTTATTGTTATTGTTATTGTTATTGTTGTTATTGTTGTTATTATTATTGTTGTTGTTGTTGTTGTTGTTGTTGTTGTTGTTGTTGTTGTTGTTGTTGTTGTTGTTGTTGTTGTTGTTGTTGTTGTTGTTGTTGTTATCCCTATCCACATTGTATTGTATCATATCTAAAAATCTTTGTTCTAAATTTTCTTTTTTTTAAATTGTACTAAATAAAAAGAAATTTAATATATTTTCCAGAAAAGTCCCTTAAATACTCACTTAACAATTTCTGCGTAACATGTAGTTGGCTCTGAAGTATTTGTCGATGATGCAAGAGTTGATGTAGAATGAAAACGAGCACGTTCCAGTCGCATTCTCTCCATCTCCCTCTTTTTCGTTTCTGAGAATTGCGTTGCTATTACGACTAAGCAGAGATTAATCATGAAGAAGGAACCAATCTGTAACCGAAATTTTTTTCAATTTCAACGATTTCTTTTTCTTTTTACAAAAAAAAAATGTATTTTTTCTCGTAATATCGATAATATCTAAATTCATTGAAAAATTTATTTTCAAACGATAATTAATATAATCATTACTTCTCGTATTTATCTTTATTATTTATTTATCCTTGTTTATTCATGAAATCCTTTTATTAAATCTTCACTTTGATCTTTTTTCTTTTTTTGTTTAATTTTAATTTAATAAAATAAAATTTAAATAAAATAGAAATGAAATAGTCAACGTACCACAATTAAAAGGACAAAATATATCCAATCCCAAAAAGAATGAGCATCCTGCACGTAATACATTATATCCGTCCATCCCTCAAGACTGATTACCTATAATAACATTATTAATTTTATCACTTCTTTTCCAAATATTTAATTAAAAAAAAAGCTAAAATAAATAAGATTGATGTAAATAAGTTATTGAAATAAGTAGTTGAAATAATTTATTTTTCTATATTTATTAAAATAATTACATATTTGAAAAATATAAGAATATCCATTCAATTGTATTAATATACCGGATCATTTTATATCGGAGATCATTGTAAAGATACAAAAGTAATAAATAAAAAAAATTCATATAAATACGAATAAATACGAAATCTTATTTTCGAATTTTAATTTATTTTATAACAATATATCTTGTGTATAAATAAATAGATATTGAATATAGTTAAATTTAATTTGCTTTTTAAAACATTTCATTTTACAAAAAAATATTCCTTGAGATGAAAGGAATTTCTAATAAATATCATCAGTGCTTTTTTGAATAATAGAATTTAAAATTATTATTAATAAAATTTTATAAATCACATTCAAGCAAGTTATATGATAATTTGGCAATTAAAAAAATGAAATTTTACAAATAAATTTCATCAATTATCAACTTCAACTTCTGTTATTATTCTATTTGAAATAAAAATGAATGAAAATTATGAAAAAAAAATTTTTAATTTATTATTATGTATGAATTCAATAATATTATATTAATTCTATTATCGTACAAAAAATATTGTATTGTAAATGAAAAAATAATTAGAATACAGGGTGTATTCAATGAAACAAGATATGTTTATCATGATTATGCTTGTGTAAATCTATACAATATATAAATTCTTTAAATAAATTAATAAGACAATTCATATGAGACACATACATTTGTACTTGAATATAGTCATTTTCTACAATTTCTCTAAAGATAAATAAATAACTTTTGAAAATAAGTTATAACTCGAAAATAAGATCATTTTGAGCAAGTATTTATTTGAACTTTCTTTATTATACCTATATCTATGCTCTGAATCAACGTATGCTGCATTTACTCATACAAGATTTTCTATATTTACTATATATATTTATTAATGTAAATGAAAATATAATATATATATGAACAGCATGTATCAATATTCTTACATATACAATGTGTCAAAAAAATAAATGACCTAATTTTAAAAATTCCACTATAAGGATGAAAAAATGTCATATAAACATAAATTCTATTTTTAAGAATATTGTTTTACAAAATATAGAAACTTTTTCCTCACATTAGAGAAATTATTAGTTATCAAGTGTAGAATTTTAAACACTGTTTTCATTTTTACATATTCTAATTCAAATATTTTTATTTACAAGAACATTTTAATTTATAATAATATATATGAAAATATTCATAATAAACTAAGATATTTTGAACATTTATTACATATATTTTGATAATCTTTAAGTAAAAAATTTTTATATCTATGTTTATATGACTTCTTTTTATATGAATAAAAAAATATATCAAAGTTTGGTCTTATTTTCATGATATTTTGTACATTCAAACATATTTATATATCATATAATGTATATATCTATTATATACTAATAATCTAATATATTTATATATGTACAACATATATGTTTTATATGTTTTATACGTACATCATTATATGTGTAGATATTATTTGTTTAGTTATAGATCGATTTAAAAATTTAAGGAATGATTTTTTAAGTTGAAATAATACCAAAATCAAAAATAAAAAAATTATTCGAATTATTAACGATTAAAAATCAATAAAATTAATTATTTTAAAACGAATAAATTCAAAACAGTTCAAGCAACGGAAAATAAAATGAATCTCAAATTATAATCTTCTTTTTCATGAAAAATATGAAATACTGTTTACCGTTTACTGTATTGTTAAATTTAAAGATTATTATATCTCTTATTGAATTACTCCAAATTTTTTTATATAGGGATATTTTCGTCGATATATTGTTAATAATTAAAACATTTTTTTATAACGAATCACTCCTTATATTTTAAATATAACCGAATATTTTATATATATATATATTATATAGAATATCTCAAAAATGTAATATCCGTAAACTGGAAATTTCTAAGATAATTTCAAACAACATTTCCTTTGCAAAAATGAGTTTTTAACAAAAAATATTGGTCAATTAGGATGTGCGTAGTTGGTTACAAATCGAAAACCGAATATGAACAAATCTAAACAACATATTTCGAAAAAAATATATTGAATATTATATTTATTTATTTATTGTTCGTAATATAATTTATTAATATTCATATAATTTTTTATTATAAATATTATATTTTATAGATAAAAAAATATTTATTCAATTTTATTCAACATGATCAATATTTTTTATTAATAATTCATTAAGAATGTTATAACAAAAATTTTTGCAAAGAAAAATATTGCTTGAAATTATTTCAAGAATCAATTTACAAAAGTTCCACATTTTTGAGATATCCTGTATATTATATGTAATTATATACATACATAATTAAATATACTGTATAATAATATATCAATGTGCTATACGCGCATGCGTGTATGTGTGTGTGTGTGTGTACGTATATATACAAAAGAACTATAATACAACTGCAAAAGAAAATTTAAAAAAAAATCATATCAAACTGATAATTAAGAGAAATAAAATATTCAATCACATAAAACAGAAAGGGATTCTTACATGTCAGTTACTTTTAAATTGCATTAATTACAAAGAATTTTTGCTAATAAAATATTAATAAAATATTAATAATATAATATATAACTAAAATATTAATAAATAAATTTTATTTTGCATTTGCGTGTTATCTTTTGAAACTGATATAACTATTACATACATTAATATATACATATTAATTTCTGTAAAATTTTCTCAGAATTAGATATGTATTTAAAAATTTGGCTACAGTAAAGTTTCAATTTCTGAATATGAGAGAAATAGAACACTCACAAGAAATATTGCGACCCAGGCAAGACCGATATTATCGAATGATATCGTTCCTTGGAAAGGATTGTTACCCTGACCCTTGCATTCCGTATAGTAGTGATTCCAATTAACGCAGGTGTCGTTGGTGATAAACGTTGTATTATTGTTTAGCAACGCGGTATTATTGCAAACCACGTTTCCTAAAAGCGAGAACATTGAAAATTGAATAGCTTTTGAAATGTCATCTGCATTACTGTAATAACTATGAATTTATTTCACATTCAATTTTCGAATTATTATTGTTAATATATTTATTAATTATATTTTAATATTAAAGTATTTATATTATGACTATTAAATATTTATAATTAATTAGATCTAAGATTTCGGTTTTTATTATTATTTTTATTATTCAGTAATATTTTATGGGTTTAAAAAAATTTGATATTATGATAAATTTGATAAAAAAAAGGAACACTTTATTGAAAAATAAGAATATATTTAAATTTTTTTTATATAATTACTTTATATTATTTTTTTTATTAATGTCATTCGTTATTTTTCGACAAGATAGAATTATAATTTATTATATTATAATTATATATATAATTATTATTCCTTATATATAATTCTTGATTTGGAAAAATACTTGCATTCAATTATTAATACATTTATTATAAATTGGATCTTCATAATCTATAATATAAAATAATGATCAATTTTCATTATCTAAAAAGAAAAAAAAATAAAATTTATTTCTGTATTATAATAGATAATAATAATTATTTTTCAAATTTCATGATCTTTAATTCATATTTCATATTAAAAATAATATAACAAATATATTCTAAAATTCTGATTCAGGATTTGAATCTACTAAGATTGATTTATATTAACAAGAACAATAATAAGATTAATTTTTTCGGTTATCATCCTGTAAATTATATAATCATATAATTATATAATTATTTGACTTTTTATTTATACTTTGTTAGAATTATGAAATAGAAAGTCTTATTAGAACTTGATATAATTGTAATAATTAATATATTTCATTTTATTTATAAACAATATAATTTTAGCAAAATTTGCAAATATTATTAAGTATCATATAAAAGATAAAAAGATTATGAATAATTGGTAAAAAATTTTTGAAATGAAAATAATAATTAAGTTAAAAGTTAGAATAAATTAATAATTCAAGAAATGATTGTTAATTTTATCTTAAAAAAAATATAATTACCATGAAGAAATTACGTAAATAAAATTATAAAGTATTATTATTTTATTTTATTTGGATTTCTTAAATTTTCAATATAATGTACATGGAAAAAAAAATTGTACATGAAAAATCAATGCTAATAAGTTATTTTCAAATGAAAAATATAAAAATCATTAAATAAAATTATTCTATTTAACTTCAATAGAATATTTTTAATTTTAAATATTTATTTAAGATATATGCATATGTTTTAAGAAAAAATAATGTATCAATAAAATACAAATTCGAAAAAGCTAAAATATTGTTAATAGTTACATTTTATTCGTCATCATTTTTTGAATTCTTTCATACGAAATTGAAATTCAATCACATCCATCACTTGAAACACTTTGACTTCTTTGTTTGTAGAGAAAAAGATAGTAATATAAAATACTACTGAAAATAAATGAAATGAAATGAAAGTTTCAATAAAATCAATATTACAATGATATCTCTGATTTTACAATATTCTATTTGTAATAGAAAAAAGAAATGAAATTAGATACAAATGGATTTTAAATGAATTTTCTTAATTCTTTGTAATTAATTTTTTGTATTCCTATAGACAATTCTTATAATAGTTTTAAGGTAGATAATATATTTACTATCAAATATATTTACTTATTGTAATAAAATATTTTATGAAATTTTTTGATGATTTATATATATATATATACGAAAAAATTTATAATATTAACTTACTATTAATATGAAATTATATACATTCAATTACAATTATAACAAATACAAATTATATACATTCTATATGAGAATAACATAAAATCCGGAATTCTTCATATTAGTTAAATAAATATATTTCTTTTTTTTTTATTTCTTAAATATATACTTAGATATAAATATCTTGTAAATATATGTAGACATATTGATGTAAATATATGATATAAAAATATTTTTAGATATACTTGGATATATATTATATGCAAGAATGATTGTTATATTTGATTTTTATACTAAATAATTAAATTAAATAATAATTAAATAATAATTAAATTATATACAATAATAAAAATATAAATATGTATTATATAATAATAATTATATATATTATATATAATAATATAATGTTAATTTTTCTAAATATCATAGTCAATATGTCTATGTAAATAAAAATTTTTAAAAATCACAAAAAGCGAATTATAATTGCACATTACCACTTTTTTCTCTATAGTAAAAATGAAACATCGAA